AACTGCGAATTTTTAATTTTTCAATTCAAAACCGAACCACGAATTCAAAAAATCAATCCAAACCTACCAAATTAGATTAGAATAGATCACATTACGAATTCGTTACTTAGGCCTGTCCATATTAGTAGGACTCTCCCATCCCAAAGCCACGATTCGCGAATGTACAATTGGAGATGGTCTTCTCTTCCCTCACACTTCTCAAGAAACGTGTAAATGATAAAGGAAACGGACTCAGATTCTCTCCCGTCGTCCATACAGTCTATTGGACCGTGATGTTCGAATTCATGGAGTTTATTATAGGTTGTTTTTTAATAATTTAAATTATTTAATATGCAGAATTTACTAATTATTTTATTTTTATAAAAAATTATATTAATCAGATATTTACATTTATTTGATCGGATCAAATTTTTATCAATAATTTATTTTAAAAATCATATTTATCGTTTATAGAATTATGATTTGATCAAATAATTATCAATATCGAATCAACTTGATTTTTTATAAGGATGAAGTACTCGGCGAGTTTTACACATTGAACAATTTAGATTATTGAAATAAAATCTGTAATGGATCCTTACGAATCTAATAATACACTCTGGTTTCAAAATGAAGAGAAATCTAATCCAAAGGAAACAATGGTGAGTTAGAGAGGTTTGAGGTATTTTGTAGGCAAATTATTTGGCGGGTATTAATGTGTAATGTGTTAATTTAAATATTTAGATTGATTTATGTAGTGAGATTTGTTACTTTTGATATTTTGAGTGATAAGGGGGCATGGCTAGGGGTGGGCACGGGTTGGTTGCGGCCACGGAACTTCCAATCTGTCATCCGTCTGTCAGATTGGCGAATTGGAGAAAATCAATCCGCATCCGTCCGCCAATCCGGCGGATTGGCGGATGGATGCGAATCGGTTTGGTGGTTTAAAATTTTATAAATTTTCAACATAATTCAACTTGTGCACTTCCTCAAAAAAAAAAAGAAAAAAAAAAAGAAGAAAATATTACAGTTAATAACTTAAAAAAATATTACATTCAAAACAAGAAAGTTCGAAACTTTAGAATATCATAATCAGTGCATGCTTCATCCACATACTATAATCACAGCATGCCTCATCTACATAAAGTATTACAATCTGTGGTTCTTAAAATATAAAAATAATTCAAATCACCAAAATCATGAACATAGTACTAGTAGAGATTGTATGTCTTTGTATTGTTATATCTATATCTGTTTTTGAAAACAAAAACCAACCAGTATATAACATATTTTCTATTTATTATTTTTAGAGATAGATTTAAAAACCAAAAAATATAGATAAATAATACGTTTATTTTTTTCAATTCAAAAAAGATATTCAAGTTGAAAACTTTTTTTCAACATAATATTTAAACTCTTTTTTAATTGAAAATACAAACAAAATATTTAAATAAACTGAAAACACAAAGTCTTATAAATTACTAGGGGTGTTCGTAGTTTGGTGGTTCGGTTGCGGCCAAAGGAATCTCAAATCCGCCATCCGTTTGCCAGATTGGCGGATTGGAGAAAATCAATCCACAACCGTCCGCTCATTATCACGCATCGATCCAAAATGCGGCGGATCGGTTCGGTTCGGTCAGTTTTGGCGGATCGATATATCCGCTGCTCGCCCCTGGGCATGGCAATTTGGTAAGATTTTGAGATATAAAATTTGAGATATCATGTTTCACTCTTTTCAGGGTTAGCTATCCGGGCGACAATATATATGATTAATAGGACGAACTTTTCCGGCTTGAGTGAACCATATCTAATGTCAAGAATGTGGGTTCGAACCCCTGTTTCTGTGCAAGTCCATGACTTATCACTATATGGATAAGTAGCTCTGTTATGTAGCACTACTTAAGAATAATCTCTAAAGTCTCAACTTTTTAAGATCTATCCCCAGAGGTCATCCTTATGTGATTAGACCTTTTAACAATAGCAGCAAATGGTGATTTGTGTGGAGTAATATCTCTCAAATCATCCCATAGTGAGTAATGTTATATAAATTAATAAATTTTATTAATTTTTTTTTTTACTTACTGGTATGACAATTACCTTTTACATTATTGGGATCAATATTATTTCTTCCCAATATATAGGAAAACTAGGAATATATAGAATGATCAAACTTAAAATAAACAGACTTGTCTTCAGTTGGATGGCCAATTTCATTCATATTTAAAGCTCATGTGTAGAGTATATATATATATATATATTTAAATTTTTATTTTTTGCTGCAATTTTTGCTGATTTACTTGGGCTGGCCAGAAATGAGCACAACTTATTATTTCCAAGTATTATTACTAAGTGGTATAATAATAACACTAGCACTCCTCTAGCATCCATATGACAAAACAAAGGCAGAATTAATGCCCACTGGTTGACAACTTAGAAGCAGTGTCTGGCAAATCAAACCCCACAGTAGGTAAATACACAAACAAAATAAAGCAAAAGGAATAAATAGGATAGGCATAGCATAATAGGTAATATAGCAAAGGGGGGCGTAAAAGTAATTTAAGCAAAAATCTCATCTACTGGCTTGGACTCCAATTTGGTTTTCTCCAAGTGCTGCTGCTCTTTGGCAAAGCTTCTTGAGCCTAGCAAGTTCAAGGTCTTTGCTCATCTTCCTTCTGTACATGTCTGGGAAGGTGATTGGTTCCTCCATTATTGACTTCTCTCCTTCTCTGATCTTTAATGGGTACACTATTGCCTCTGGAGCTGGGTTCTGGAATGTGGCTATGGATAATCTGCTGCTCTTTGAGTTCACCACTGCTTGATGGTCTGCGTTCTTGAACCTCCCATTTCTTGAAACATACAGGTTCTGTCTCTCTCGTGGGGGCAGAGAGCAAAGTTGGAAAGCACTTCAAACTCGCCGACCGCAAAACCACCTTCACAACGGAGCTCCGTGCCGGCGCCACCACCTTCCTCACCATGGCAGAACTTCACCTCCAAGGGAAATCGCTGGAGTCGTGCCAATAGCTATGGATCCAAGCTTAGTGGCTGGTAAAGGTGAAAGAGAACCAAGAAATCCACCCATTGTTGTACGTGCAACACCCACAATACAAACATCTCTAGGATTTACCGAATCTGCAGGTGCTGTTGCTGCTGCTGGAGCCATGATGATATATGTAAATGAATATCTGAGAAAGAGTTGAATCCACACAGCAGTGCAGAGAGAGATGAATTGTTTAGTTCCTGAGTGTTATCTTTCATCTCCCCTCATGCACACTACTTCTCTCTCCAAAAATATTCTTTACTTTTTCTTAACCCCACTCCAGCACCTCCTCTTTATTTTATTATCACTTCCTCTCACTCTCTCATAAAATAATACTCCACCTCTCCTGCACCCGACAGACCCCATACTCCTTATTATGCTCTCTACTCTCACCTTCTCTCTCTCTCCACTTTATCACATGGGTTTGTCCCTCTCTCTCCTCCGTTTGATTTCAAAATCAATTCTTTTTATTTATTTTTTCCAAATCACTTTTAATCTTTTTTACATACCCACTCTCCAATAATATATTTTTTGTAGGGGCACTAACCCAACTTTATTTTGAAACAATCACACTGATGTTTTTCATATAATCCATCTACAAATATTTTTTATCTATTTTCTTTATCCCTTGTTTTCTTTCATTTTATTTTTATTCTTTATAAAAAAAAAAAACAAATACTTCAAACACCATTCCTGGATTTAACAAAACCGTGGGCCCCGAAACCACGTGACCCACTTTCCTTATTTTCCCACTCTTTCGTTTTTCTTTCACATTATTTTTAATCTTTTTCAAATTCCATTCATACCATATAGATTTGCACAACAAACCATATTTTATTCATCTCAGGGATCCACCCCGATCACAATTTTACACAAAAAAAAAAAAACAATAACAACAACAACAAAACAACACAAAAAGATTTGTTTTTTCCTTTTCTGCAGACGGCCACCCACCGACCTTACTTCTTCGCCTATTCCGCCGGTTTTTTCTTCTTGCCTCCGTCCTGGGCGGCCCTTGACGGTGTTGCCTCCGTGTTTCCCACTCCACTGGGCACGATCACTCCACCCTGCTCCTATACACATGAACGACATGTGTCATATTTTTAAAAATAAAATTATAAATTTCATCAATTTAGCGACTAATCCCAACCAATTCAATGAAAAATTTCTATAAAAACTCTATCAATATTATTAATTAAACTAAATTACAATAAATTTAAAATTAAGAATCAAAATGAAACCAATTAAAATTATAAAAATATAAAGCTTATCAATATAATTTGACTAAAAATAAATATAATAACAAAAATATTTTAGACCTCTAAATGAAGAGTTCTAGAGGGAGAACTAGAGGTAGCCTCATTTTATGATTTGATGTTTTGATTTGTAATTTTGTGTATTTTTTTTAATATATTGTCACGTTTCTAAATTTGGTATAAGAGTTCCAACTCTATTGCTCTCTATCATTATTGATATAATAAACAAGTGATTATTATAATTTTGAAATGAAAAATGCTTGGGAGCACTAATTAGTGCTCCCACTAATTAGGTGGCAGTGGATCCCGTCATTAATGATGCGATGTTTTAGTCTTGGAGTTATATTTTTTTTTTTTTACTTTTTTAATGCATTAGTGCTATTAGTAATGATATTTTTAGTGGGATGAATAATTGTTGTTTTGAAATATATCTAAATTCTTTTTGTGGAGATGTACATACAGAACTTGACAAATGGATCTCTTGGACTTGCAGAGAAGCCTGTCCAAAAAAAGAAAGAAAGAAAAACTACCTACAAAATTTGTTTTGATATATAGCATTGGGATTTCTGAATCTTAAATTAAAAGAGATGAAATGGCAATCATCATTCATATACATGAAAATCGTTTTAAAAAAAAAAAAAAATTGAAAAACAGAGAAGAGAAACGATTAATAACTTTATATTATACTACCAAATGAGCCTTAAATTTGGTTGTGATTGGGAATAGTACCTGTAAATGGCTTGAAACGATGAAGCCTCCTTTCTTGCCACCAGACATATCAAAGCGAAGCTTTTCCTCAGGAGGCAATGCAAAGAAATCGCGAGCGAGACGAGTCATATCAGACACAAGACTAGCATCAACACCATGATCAACCACCTGGAAAATCCCCCAATCTTCACACGCTTCGACAATCTCCTTACAGATCTCCGATCTCTTGCCTTCATCGTCGATCCCTTCGAGAGAGATCACAGGAATTTCATTGCTGAATTGGTTGTAGGCGACCTTGGGACGCTCGTCCTCGTCGCGGACAAAGCTCGAGTCCAGCGTCTTCTCCTCCGCCAGTGCCGTCAGTGTGGACGGTGCCATTTTTTTGTTGCTTTGCTTTGATTATGGGGTGGTGTGCTGTCTCTGTTTTCGCGATACGCGTGACTGTAGAGTTTGTTAGAGGAGGATTTGGGCTGGCCTGGCCTGGCCTTATATATGGCGCCAATGGGTTGGCCGAAGCTCCAACTACCGCGCTTAAAGTGAGTAGTGTAGGTGGCTACCCACCCGCACGTGCTTCCCTTCTAGAATCTTTCTCTTTCTTTTTGTTTTTTTTTTTTTTCCTCCTTGTTATGGCTAATGGATTGTTTGGAGTATCCTAAATAAGTATATTTTTTGTTTTTTTGGATTAAAAAATTAAAGAAAAAAATATGAATGTTTGGGTTAAATTTTTGACTTTTTATTAAAAAATGTGTATTAAAAAATTGTATAAATTAATGTGCAGGAAAAAATTAAGATGTTGAGTTGTGCAGTCGTATTTTTTAACTTTTGATGAATAAAAATAACTTTCTAATTTTTTGAATATCTTTTTGACTTTTTAATTTTTTTTTCTACTCGCCAAACTTGACTTAAATTGCAAATATTTTTATGAAATTTTTAACATATACATTTAATTTTCTGGAACCCGTTTTTGAGATTTGAGCGTTACTAATAAATTCTATATTACTCCGTCAACCGTTTAATTAATCAGCAAAATTGTACTAATTTCTTGAATTGCACACCAATCAAATATAAAAAGGAACACAAATGTTGAGATTATGAAACAATGTTAGATATTTATAATTTTAGATTTATAAATCTATACGTGGCAAGGCAGTTAGACCTGACATTATAAAGTCATATTTGGGATAAATAATCACAAGCCACAAAAAAAAAAAAAGTTATAAAATCACAAAAATACAAAAAATTTATAATATTATGAAATTAACCCATAAACAAATAAAAAGTCAAAAAAGTATCATTTTCAAGTGGAGGACAATTTTATCATTCCAATGCCAAAAAATTAAAAAAGCCAAACAAGAAAACTAAGTAAATAAAAAAGTCTCAGGCTAAAAAAATTGAAAAAACTAAAAAGCCAACTAAAAAAATATTGTCAAACGGCCTCTGAATATATGATTAATAAAAAATTAACCCTTATTATATCATATCATTGTTAAAGAAATTGTAAATATTTTTTTTTATATGTCTCATATATTTTCCATTAGCTATGTAGAAAAATTATGCAGTGCTCTCAAGACAAATCTAATTGGTGTCCAACTTGATATTATTTATTGAAATTTAGAATCTAGTATTTTTTGTTAAGATATTAAAAAATAACTAAATAAAGTATCAATTTGGTGTGGAGTATTACCCGTAGAACATTAAATAATCTCTCTACACAGTACGTATCCTATACAGAGCAATTGAGGAGTGCACGAGGTTTCGCAATTATGTTACCGATGTTTTGAGAGTCAAACATAGCTGGTGTTGGTGTGTATGGTTAAGACTGTCAATGGCTAAACTGTTTGGATGGAGGAAGTTCAGCCCGAATTGAGCTCGGTTCTACATGCTCATATCTTATCTATTTTGTGATTTGGTCATTTAACCTTTACCTATCTAAAAATAAACAAAAAATTACTTAGTTTTAATCATATTTTGGTCATTTAATCGTGTTCTCATTTAATGATATTTTGTAATTTGTTTAAGGATCTTGTAAACGTGTCTTTTAAGACACATGTTAAGAAAACTTAAAAAATATTATACGTATTTAGAAAACGATATATAAGCTCATTTTTTAGATTTATTTTCTAAGTTTAATGATATGTAAGTGATATGATTGGTTGATGATTAGAGAAGATATGAGAGAGAGAGAGAGTATTGCTTTAAATATCTTAATTGATTGTCACATCATTAAAGTTGAAAATTTTGTTTAATTTTTAAACTTGAATAGTAATGCTCTACATATTTTAATGTACTCACGTTTATGATGATGTATAACCTTTTCAAATATCTTAACACGTGTGATAAGAGTATTGATTAACAAAATTATTTGTTTAACGTGTTTTCAATTTTCAAATCATGTAAGCATTGCTATTAATTGGACAAACAATCAGAATGATATATTCGATTATTAGATAACTTCTCAAAATCATCCAAAGCTATTCAACATTTATTTTCAAGCCAAGCAAAAACTAGTTATCTGTTTTGCTAGCTGGTTCAGAACTACCAATTCTTTTTCTGAATGAACATTTATGTTGTCCAACAAATAAAACAAGTTATCTATTTTGAAAGTTGGCCTACAACCACCAATTCCTTTTGTTAATAAACATTTATGTGTGGAACAAATTAATTTAGTTATCTGTTTTGAGAGTTGGTCGAGAACCACAAATTTTTTTCTTAACAAACATTTATGTTGTCGAACAAATTAATAACAATGTCACCTGATACCTAATTTCCTGAGAAAAGGGTTTGTTCACTTAGAACCTATTTCTCTCCATTAAAATCTTGCATTCCTTTATTAGAATTAAAACCTTTATGATTTCGTAAATGTTTCATAGCTTTGACTTCGATTAGTGTTTGAAATGATCTTTGAACAGTAAGACATGATTCTCTTTAACTTTTTTTCTTATATAATTTATTATAAACACAAAATCAATTGCAAATATTTTGTCATCCTATAGCATTAAACAATGACAACTTTTTAGCCTTTTTTTTTTTTTTTTTAAAACTTTTTTAATTTTTGCCAAATTTCTAGCATTGGAAGGAAAGTGTTTGAATAAAAAAAGAAAAACACTTGGTTACATTATCTCAAAAAAGAAACATAGCCAATTATTTAGTAGTTTTGAGATATCGTATCATATTTGACTGTGTAATATTCCAAACCGATCATGTAATAGAAAGTTTTACGAGTAGAATATGCTTACTCACATTTGTTAGGTAGTTAAGAGATACAATTTCTCATTAGTTAAAAATATCACATAACCAATATATCATATGATATTTTGGAAACATCTAATAATTTTCCACAAACTAAGTATCAATTAAGGGAAAAGGATTGAAACCTACAATTGAAGTCTCATAATTTTGTAAATAATGAGATGACAAATTATATATTAATTTTTTGTTCATAACATTTATGTAAAACTCTAACTCATTCGTCATTTCATTGTAAATGGATTATGAAATATTTATGAATATGAAAGTATTTCCCTTTTTTAAATAGCCTTTGTTTTTCCATTGGTTATGCGAAACTCGGCACATGCAGTGCCTATTAAAACCGTGGGCCAAACCCATAGTCGGCCCATCTATCTAACCATTGATCTTAGAAATCTTTTGTTGAAAATTGATGATTTGTAATAATATTTTTTTATAAGCTTCTTATTTAAGTTATTTTTATAATACAAATTACAACAGAAGCTTTAACGAATGATTTGATATAAAATCTCAAACTTAAAAAAAATAAAGTCATAAACAACTCATTTAAAATAAGCTATTTATTGACTTATTGATTTATTTCTATCACATCATATTTTTACTTTTTTACATGTCTTTTCGTAAAAAATAAAAAATTAAAAAAATAAGACATATCCAAAACAACCCTAAATGCTAGATAAATAAGCTAGGTGGAGTGCCGCGATAATGATGTAGATGAGTAATGTTATAATAATTATTTTCATATATATTAAGTTTATTATTTTATTTGTTATAATTGTATTGATAGAGGGTTCGTTTGGGAAATGGGTTGATTTTTTATTTATTTTAGTTTGGGGTTAAAAAATCTAGTTCGAGAAGGATTTTTTGATTTTTTTTAGACTTTTTATGAGAGAAAGAATGTAATGATTATGAATTGAATGTGATGCTTTGTTTTATTGGGTTAAAAAGTATATTTTATATTTTTGTGATTAAAATAATCCCAAACTTAACCAAATCCAACCCTTCTTCCCAAACGAAGCCTGAATGAGTTCTGCTACTCATCATTATTACCAATACAATAATAATACACCACATGATTAACTTGAAAAATTATAGAATACTCCCGAATATCACGTGTCTATACTCTCTAACCAATTATCATTCATTATGTTCTTTCATATTTCTCAATCTCTCAACATAGGGCCCGTTTGGTATAGCTGTTAAAACAGATTATAGATTATAACTTAACAGATTATAGATTATAGCTTTAATCAGAAACTGTTAATCTGTTTGGTGTAGTTGTTGAATTATAGATTTAAGTTACTGAGTAGTGTTTGTTAAATAAGCTGTGAAGTAACTTTTTCAATTAACTTTTATTTTTTTGTTATTCACTACTTGTTTTTTATTATTCACTATTTGTCTACATTTTTCATAAAAAATAATAATAATATTTTATAGTCCATTTGGGTCTTTTTCTATTTTTTAAAAAATAAAACATAAAAAAAAATCTGAGTATAACCGTAAATTAACATATTCACAGCAGAAACTGATAATCAGAAGTAAGGGGTGAGCAGCTTCTCAGAATCAACTTTTTTGAGTTAAAATAAGTTGTTAGAAACAGAAGCTGTTTGAAATAAATTTAACCAAATAGTCCAAAATAACTTTTTAAAAGTTAGAAGCTATAAGTTAGCTCAAAAAAATCCAAACAAACACCCCCATAAATATCCCATTTATCCACTTTCTCTACCAATCACAACACTATAGAATATTACGTGTCCATACTCCGAGACTACTCAATAATCACCCAATAAACTTAATGCGGTATGTGAAGATTATATATATATAATTTTTTTTTTGTTACAAGAAAATCCTCTCACTCTTCCGTAGGTCTAAGGTACCATCTCTCGCAGAGATTACTATGGTGTCATTTGTCTATTCCAAGTAAGAAACTATAACTTGAGAACTTGCCCTGACCTCCTAATACAATTTCCACTTAAATCAAAATTCGTTCAACGAGAGAATATTGAACCCACACCAAATATTATAATAATAACAATTTGAGACTTAATTTCATAACCAACTACGCTATAACTAAGGAATTAGCCCAAAAACTTTCGAACTTGAAAGCTGAGGTCTTAATTCCAAGCCATTACCAAATGCACTACTGCCTTGGGTTATGTGAAGATTAATTTTAGCATTATTGGCTTCCTAAAAACTGAGCATAAGAACGAAGTCCACGTCATGTTAATTTGG